AGGACTAGTCAGCTAGCATCCTGGGACCTGTGAGGCCCAAAGTCCCAGACCTGCATTTGGTGAGCACCTTTTCTCTGGTGGAGACCATAGAGACACAAGGCACTCAGCACACCACATGGTGAGAGCATTGCATGCAACAGACGAAGCCAAGCTGGCTTTGATAACTAATCTATCCTCCAGATAATCCATTCACGACCCAATCATCTCTTATGGTTGCCACCTAGCTCCACTCTGTAGTATTCCATCATTGGGATTAAATATCAACATGAATTTTCATGGAAACATTGAAATGATAGCAAATTATTCTTGAGAATCAAACAAAGTTTGTTTGGGGTTTTCAATATCGAAGCTGTTGATGATGTTACACAACCTGTGGACAACAAAGCTATGCTATGTAGTTCACAGTCTATACCCTTGGTTTGAAGAGAGGATGAATAGAGTGTTGCTTCAGGTTAAGAACTTAATTCTTTCCATTACTCTGGTCACAACTGTGTTGGACAGGAAGTGAATCTCATTCAGTAGTTAGGTTCCATGTTGGCCTCCTGGGAAAATTTGAATTGGTTCTCATCCAGTATGGTTTGCTACCAGAATTGTGGAGAGAACTGAGTTTGTGAACTGAAGCACCACTACATTTTTCTTCATTGTAGTAGATAACTCTTTTGAGCCCATCATTTTATAACTGAAAAAATTGTACTACTAATTTCTATTAGTTCATTGAAAGGAAGAGTTAGTGCTTGTATTGTTTGATCAATTTTGCAAGCCTGTATCTTGTAATCTGAACAACTACTTTGAAGACAACAATGTACAATACCATAACCATTGTTAATTTCCTATTATTTTCCTTTAGAATTCTGTATCATTGTTTTTATTGTGTTTTGTCTCTCTAACATATAAAAATGATGTTGAATATAAAGCACATTTATTGACATAAACATGCGCCCTGTACTATAATAATTTAATTTTTCACTGCCTTCTGAGGCAAACATTATCACTCTCATTTTACAGACAAAAACGTTTGCCTTTCAGAGATGTGAAGATTTGTTCACCGTGACATCATCTGTGAGCCTGGGGTCAGATTCCTGATAGCGGAGTCTGAAGCTGCGCACCTCATTCTGTTGCCCAAGAAGTAATTATTATAGAAAAAGCAGCCACAGTTCTCAATTCCCAATCCTAAAGAAGACTGTACTGCATGATGATGTGTCAAGGTGTTGAAGAGCTTAAAGGAAATAAATATTCCTCCTTTTCCAATTTGGATGCAATTCATTACTTTTTCTAGACTTACCCCTTCAGTTAAATCACTAGTCATAATTTTAAATGATACACAAAAACAAAAAAGCTGTACATACTGATCAGGGTACCACATGATGTTCAATATGTGTACATATTGGATAATGTTTACATCAGGTTAAGCACATTGATCTACTGAGACTTGTATCATTTCTGTGTGGTGAAAATGTACATAACCCTTTCTTCTAGCACTTTGAAATGCACAGGAGGTAACTTCCATAGTTACTATGCTGTGTAGTAGTACGCCAGAGTTCTTTGCTCCATGCTCATTCAAAAATCTATTCTCACAGAGCCAGGAGAGTGTGGATAATTTTGCTGGTGTATCTGACAACCAAGTTTAACCATCACGGATGCATAAGCCAGATGTACCTATTGCATCATTTATCCCACTGAACTGTTCTCCAAATATTACAAAAGGAAAAGTGTAACATGCTTGTCTTGATTACTCTTCTCTCACTGCTGAGACAAAATACCTGACACCCAAATTTAAGGAAGGAAAGGTTTATTTAGCTCACGTTTGTGGAGGTTTCCAAGGCAGAGTGGCACATGACAGAGGGGAACATTTTATGGTGCAGAGCACAGCAAAAGCAATAAGAGCAAATGGGAGGAGCAGTGGCAAGAAGCCTCTTTCCCTCCCTTACACTGTATGCAAACTACCCGCCCCAGGGCAGGTGTAGCACTCACACCCATAATCCCAACATTGGACCATGAATCAATCACAAACTCTAAAACCTGCCCCATGACTGCATGTGGCTTTTGGGGGACAGACACAAATCATAACAATGCCATACAATTTAAGGATCACACTGCTTCTTTATGGATGTTTCACACTTCTGCAATATAATTTGTTTCTTGTGAAAACAAACTTTTACTATTTTATTCATTGCTAACACCTAAAACAAGTAATGTAATAGACACTCAACAAAAATATGTTGGTAAGAGAATAAATGAATAAAACCAAAGGATAGAATGCTGAGAAATAGGCTAAAAGCATTATAAAGAAAAGAATGTTATGTATTTTATGATTGCTATTTTAACACTAGTGGATAGATAGATTACTAATAAGATAATTTTGTTAACTTTTATGAAAATCAATTCTGGATTATTGGCTCAGACAATGCACAAAATTTTGTGTAAATTTATATAACCTGTTCATGAGAATTAAAACAATACTTGTGAGTACAACACTTTTTGAAAATGTGTTTTATGCATTACATTGGTGCTGTGGCCTACTATGTTTATTTCTTGCTCATATACCAGTAAAATGGGCACATTTGCAGATGTCTGACAGCAATTCTATGAGCAGACTTTTCAAACTACCAATCCCCACCAATCCGAGGTCTAAAAGAGTCATGTTTGCATCTGATGGACAGCCAAAACATAAGATATAAAATATAGCATGAATTCTGGAAGACAACTGTGTCCTAGCTTAGAAATAATGCACAACCCTCTACCCACATGTGCTTAGGGAGACATGAGCCTGGTGGGCAAGGAAACTGTAAGCAGAGCTGAGAAACACAGTTATACTTCTGTTTGGTTGTATTAGTCAGGAAAACAGGCCATGAAATTGTTTTTTGATGCAACATAGAGGACTCCATAAAATATGTTTGAAAGAAGAACTTTCTTTTTACTATAACACTAATGAAGAAAAATTTTAGTAAATCCAGCTATGTAATTATTGAAAATATCAGTACGCTATAAATACCATTAGAAAACAAGCAATAACTTTAAGAAGAAAATTTGGCATATATGATAAATGACTGGTACACTGCTGCTGTTTTAAAATATTGATTAATCCCATATAACATGGAGAGTTAAAAGATATCGATATTATAAGCATGATCAAGTCAGAAATGATTTTTTCTCTCACAAATGTTAAAGATAAATGAGCTAGCATTTTAGATATTATTTTATTTCAATAATACAAATTATCCAACTGAAAAATAACACAAGTGTAATTCAAATAATTGAAATGCTCAAGAAATATGTTAATTACTTTCAGCTTCATTAATTCTTTGGCATGTTTCAACTACACAGTGAGAAAATATTCTACATTTCAAATTGCCTAAGGTATACCATCTATGACTAGGATACTGCAAAATAGAGAAAGAAGATCTGTTGGCAAAATAAGCATTTTGGATCTACAAATTTAAATGTAGTAGAAAGCAAAATAAGAATTATACTCTACTCTTTAAAATAAAAAAGAATGATATTCTAATGTAATAAATATAATATAAGCAGTATTATTCTTATAAGATGACTAGTTTGATACTATGGCTAATTCCCAAAGGAAAATTTCTGTAGAATTTTAATAAAGTTGGCTAATATTAAAAAGTTACCCAGCTACACAACACATATATTTACACACAAATGTGCATTACATATACATGCATGCATATATGTATATATAACTCTACATATTTGTAAGTTCCTAATTTTGATTTGTGATATGCCATTTTTATGTATTCAATGTCCTTCCAAATTCATTGCTAGATAAAAATGAACAGACTTGCATCACAAGAAAAGTTATATATTTTGTGTATTTATTATCAAAATCCATTCTCTGTGCAACAAAAGGTTTTCTGTTTTGCAAAGCTTTAAAACTGAGGTTACAGTACAGCAAAATAGCAAAGGATAGGGAAATCACTGTGTGTAAAAATTCAGTTGTAATTTTAAAGCCAGGTATAGTACAGTTAAATGTGCTAGAAACTTCAAATGCTACAGTTTGTTTCTCTTTCCACCAGACCTCAAAAAGTAGAATATCACAAGCACAAAAATAAAGCAATATACACTTAATATATTTCCACCTTCAAAATATTCTGAGTGAGTTCCAGATATCTGCCTACTGAAGCCCAATTAAAATTTCAGTGTACCAGGAAGTGGGGTTATCACCTTCTGATAACTCATTTTAAAACTTAAGACAGGGATACCATCTTAAGTAGATAACACGGAATATTGAATAAGTTTTTAATGAGTTAATTCCGTGTAATAAATTAGTATGCATTTGAAAGTGAAAACATATAGTGTACACTTAGTTCATGCTGCTTAAAGCTCATAATACATGATACACAAAATTGACAGAGATGCTGTCTTGAAAAATTACAATATTGTAATACCTTGGTTCATGGGCCCATAAGCCATGAACAATTGGTTCTCAAACAGAAGGGTTGGGAAAGCTTTTGCTTCCCTTTGAGAACTCTACATGCAGTGATGGACACAGCATGGCACTTTCCCCAGAACTGTGGAACAAATTAAGTTCCTGAAATGAGACATCAATGTAATTCATGGTGAAGCTTTCAATTTAAACATTATAAAGTACCAAGCTGCTGTACAAGCAAATAACAACTCATCTGCTAGGTGCAAAAAGAAACACAGAGACCATGACAGTTCTTTTAAAAGCAGGACTTAGATAATGGGAATCTTGTGAAATGGCAAGGAGTCCTGAAAAGACTGATCACTTCACAAATCAAACTACTGAATCTGACCTTACCTGGAAGACAGAATCTATAGATAACATCAATGTGTTTTCCCCATCACAGATCTCATGATTAGAATCCCATTTACAACTGCTTCCTTTCTGCACCATTATTCCCTGCACAATTACATGTTGTTCTGGTCTACTCACTGAAAACACAAAACACTTCCTCAAAATTATCTAAAACAGTATCTTCCACCTGTGGTAGAGATGGAGCTTCATCATGCATTTTAAGTTTTTATTTAGTTATAAATATTCTGCTGACGGCTTTGTGCATGGCTTCCTTCACGTCCTTGTTCCTCAGGCTGTAGATCATGGGGTTCAACATGGGAATCACCGTGGTGTAAAACACAGCCACCATCTTGCCCTGCTCCACAGACTCCTCACTTGGGCTCCTGAGGTACATGAAGAAGAGCGTCCCGTAGAATATGGTGACGGCTGTCAGGTGAGACCCACACGTGGAAAAGGCTTTCTTTCTTCCTTCTGCAGACCGCATCCTGAGGATGGCAATGAGGATGAATATATAGGAGACAATAATGACCAATAAGGAGTAGGAGAAGTTGAGGCCTGCTAACGTGCGCATGGTGTATTCTTTAATGGCGGTCCCAGCGCAGGCCATTTTGATGAGCGCTGGGTCTGCACAGTAGAAATGGTTGATCTCAATGTTTCCACAGAAGTACAAGCCATGGGTCCACAGTGTTGAGATCAAACTGATAAAGAAGCCATAGACGTAAGGGAAAGAAATCAGCCGAATACACACAGTTCTTGACATTCTGCTGCCATACAGCAGAGGGCTGCTGATCGCCATGTAGCGATCAAAGGCCATGACAGCCAAGATAAAGACTTCGACATGCACAAAAGCGATGAAGAAAAAGCACTGCACTATACATCCGGCATAAGAGATGGTTTTGATCTGAGAAACCAAATTCTCCAACATCTTAGGGGTCACATTAGAGGAAAACCACACATCTGCAAAAGAGAGGTGACCGAGGAAAAAGTACATGGGACTGTTGAGCTGAGGACTAATCCAGATTAATACGATCATGCCAATATTCCCAAGCAAGGTGATAAGGTAGACCAGCAAAAAAACTACAAAGAAAAGGAGTTGCAGTTCAGGGCGACTAGTCAACCCTAAAAGAACAAATTCTGTCACATCAGTAAAATTAAGCATTTTCTCAAATCCAATCCAGAGAAGGATGCATTTTATCTAATAAAACAAACAGAAATCAGTAAATACACAGAGAAAATACAGTCACCTTGCATTGATTATCTTTCCTAACCCATTTTCTGTCAATTTTCATTGATATTTTTACATCTCATCTCTCATTTTTTGATATCTTTGCCTATTTCATATTTACTTGTATATTATTTCTTTATTAGATCGGTACAGCACAGATGGTCTACCAAATATTAGAAATCCATTCAAAGCCACAGCTACAAAATGATATTCCTAAACCAGAAAGTTAAATGGAATCTCCGTATTTCATCTTACAAATTTTAGACGTATATTTTGTGAACAATTTCAAATGGAATAAATGGCTTAACATCAACTCATTACTCACATCACAAAATACAACACTTAGTTTTTTGAAGTCAATCTTAAAAACTATCAAACCCTTGCACGCAAATAAATCCTCCTTTGGACTTTAAGGAAGTAACCAGTTCTGTGGCAACCTCCTACTTTTTTTCCTAGAACTTTGAGTTACAAAAGCATAATAAAATATTCAGTCTTTACTGCCTGTTTATGTTTGTCTATAAATAAATTAAGGAAAATTTCACAGTTTGCAGGACATTAGTTGATGCCTTTTGGAATAGTATCTTTTATTTTTTGACTGTGATTAAGATGAGGAAATCTGTATTCTGGATTCTGGCTACCATATTTTAATATAAATATTTGGGCTAATTTACAATCAGTAATTTTCTCCTAATGTTCTACTGAGTTATGAGCCAGGGAATTTATCATTCATCATAAATTATCCTGGATTTGACACCAAAGTATAAATTAGGAAAATATCACTGTCTTCTGGTTATATGGGAAAGCCAAGACAGAATCAAGATTAACAACTTGAATACCTTGATTGTTGCACTAAGCACTATGTATTAACAAAGTTAAAGTATATGGTAGTAATAAAATGACTAACACCCTGGGTTCAACTCCAAAGATTACTCTTCATGAGATTTGTAACATTAGTCTACTCACTTGTTGTAGCTTCCTCAAGGGTAAACATGGACACTAAAAGAATATGCATTTTGGACTTATCACCAGGAGTAACTAGAATACTTTTACATGGAGAATTGCAGAAAGGATGCAATAATGAAACTCCCAAATTGTGTGTTCTAGTCATAACTCTTTTAATAATTTTTTGAAGGGGACTTAATTTCCTTATTTCTAAAAATTAGGTGATAGATTGAACCAAATAGCCTCCACTAATGTTAAGTATTAAACAGAAATTGCTTAGAAGAATTCAAATTATGGTTTATCATCTTCCTCTATGACATGAGAAAAAATAGTTCATACATGTTTGTATTTTCATATCTTTTTGTTTATTTTAGGGTCACCAGAGAGGAACCATTAAAAACACTTATGAAAGGGGCATTCATTATAATATTTAGTTTATGGAATTCACTTCTGGCTAAAAGAGCCATGCACTTCTGTGTATAATAGTCTCAATTTTTAAGGCTAAAAGAGCACTGGGGAGACAGAGGCATAAGGATCATGAGTCTGGATCCCAGAGCCGCATTTTAGCAAGCCCTTGTTTGAAAATAAAAACATAAAAAACAAAAAAGAGGTTGGGGATGGAGCTCGGTGGCAGAGCACCTGGGTTTGATCTCCAGTACTGGCAAAAACAGTGTTACATATAAACAACACACATTATGCTTGTGCCTGTTTTTGATAACTATAACCATAATACACAGAACAGGAAGAGAATAAAGTTTTATTATGACTCATAAGTTGTCCTATAATTTGAAAAGTATTTTTTTGCGGAACTCAAACATAGAAGAAATGTGTAAAACAAGGCTCAAATGTTAGTCTTCAATATTATCTGGGCTTATTTAATCAGACTTTCTATTAGGGAGTCATTTATTCATCCGGAAAAAGGAAGTTATAATGTTTTATACCATATTGTACAGCTATGCTTTAGAATATCTTAAAGACATTTGTCATTTAGTATATAATTTATCATCTTCATATTTCTGTGATAGATAAAAAAGTGTTTCTTTTTTAGGTAATTAAGAAGTCATTATATGAGTTGTCCCCATAAATTATATTTATGCATGCAAATATGATTATATATGTGGGTTTTAATTGATTCTATGAACAGTGCATGGTGTACACATACATGCATCTATGTTAGAACATCAGTTCTTTTAATACAAAAGTACATATTTTAACTTCCTTTTTCCCATTTCCTGAAAACATCCCACAAAAATTCTCTTCCTGCTTAAAATTACAAGGACAGCCTAGAGAGCTAACACTTTACACTGATTTTACCAAGAAAAAAAAAAATTTTTTTTCTTTGTCCATGTTCCTACCTGTCCATGAAGAAAAAATGCTCCTGGAAGCATTGTATCTGTCACCATCAAGAGATAATTCAGAAGGATTTTTAAAGACTGAATTTCCCACGGCGGGACTTTCTCACTGGAGAATATCAACAGAAATCCAAGGAAATAATTAAGATGCAACTATTACATCATGTATAATAAAAATGAATCTCAAGAGCAAGATAATTCTCAGTAGAATTAGAATTTTAAAAGCAAGAATTAGAAAGCCTTGAATCCTTGTAAATGTGCTGCATTTGTTGGGGGAGGTATAAAAGTCTTGCTTTGTGATATGATAATAACATTAATATTACATCAGTTACAACATAGATTTTGAGTAGCCTGTACTTTACAGTAGGCAAATACTATTGAATTAGTGAACAAATTTCTAACCCTTCTCCAATAAGCAACATTTAGTAACAAAAAAAAAAAATGAGAGAGTAAAGGAAGTTGCATTTTCTATACTGTACCCATGTCAGTGGGCTTCCTTTTGTCTGAAAAAATTAAAATATTTCCTTAGGGGCTGGGGATTTAGCTCAGCCGCAAAGCGCCTGCCTGGCAAGCGCAAGGTCGTGAGTTCAGTTCCCGGTACTGGAGAAAAACCAAAAATAAAATAAAATAAAATAAAATATTTCCTTAAACCCAACTCAATTTCTAGGTTAGTGTTGGCAACAAAGAGGAGAAACTATGTTATTTCATCAACCCTTGTGAGTTCATAGTTGGGACATATTCATTTAAAAAGAGATTAAGATAAAACAAGCAAGATCAGTAACACCTGACATTCTTATCATATGGGAGAAAAGCAACTCCATTAAGAAAGCAATTCTTAAAAAAAAAAAAAAGAAAAGAAAAGAAAACATAGCTTGGGCCCTTGCTCACTAGGACTTTAACAAACGGCTATTGCTTTGCTTTGGTTAAGTGTCTGCTACAGTGGGGCATGCTAGCACGTGCTTGTAATCCCAGCATTTAGGAGGCTGACGCAGGAGGACTATTGCAAGTTCGAGACCAGCTTGGGCTACAAAGTGAGCTCAAGGCCAGCCTGAACTGCATAGCGAGACCCTGTCTCAAAAAGAAAAAAAAATAAAAATAAAAAAGTGTCTCCTACAGGTCCAGGTGTTAAAAGGCACGTGCTTTAGCCAGTAGTGTTACTGAGTGTACGGTGCCCCTTAGAAGCAGAGCCAAGTGGAGATGTTCCCGCCATGGGGCAGGGCTCTTGAAGGGGGATGGGGACCTGGGCCACGTGCTCCTCCTCTCTCTCACTTCACCATCACCTGCTAAGTGGCTTTGTTCCACAGCCTGCTCTCCACCAAGACGTGCTGCCCCTCCCAGTCCCGAAAGCAACCGGCCTACCAAACCATGGACTGCAACTTCTAAAGCTGAGAGCCAAAAATCAGTATTTTCACTTTATAACTCGGCTGTCTCGGGCACTGTGTGCTACAGTACGAGACCTGACTAGCAGAGCCATAATCCTCAGCATAGGGGCGGAACACAGAAAAGCAACACCGGAAGTGCAAACAGCAGGAAACCAGGAAGGGCTAATTTATCTGAGAAACTCTACTCATGGGCTCCCCCTGTCCTGTGTCCCGGAGCCTTCCTGGGCTGATGAGGATCTACTATCTCCGATAAGGAAGGATTTAGTTTAAAAACCTTTTTCTGTGTAAAACACGCTGTTCACTTCCATTGCCTTTTTGTCAATAATCTCTAAAGCTTCAGGGAGAGGTATTTCGGTTCCCTACACTAGTTTTGTTGTCATTGTTTGCTTCGCTTATAAATCTTTTATTTTGTTTTTGTTGTTGTTGTTGTTATTGTTGTTCTGAGACAAGGTCTCACTATGCAGATCAGGCTGACCTTGAGCTCACTTTGGAGCCCAGCCTGGACTTGAACTCGGAAGGATCGTCCTGCCTCAGCCTCTTGAGTGCAGGGATTACAGGCATGCGCTATCACACTGGGCTTCATTTATAAATTTTAGGAAAAATAAGCTCCGTAGTAATTATTTTACTGACCTAAGGTAATGTACCTAGTTTCTCATGTTTACATGAGAAATAACAGCTATTTTTCTCATGTTTACAATTTCTAACCAGTCAGAAATGTTAAACAGTTGAGAAACATAATTGAAAATTTTTATGGACAGGGGTACTTGTTTGCACCTGGCTTGTGCTTAAACTTCAATTCACAACATTTATCAGGCATGCTGCTTTATTCCTCTAGTTGAACTTAATTAGCATTTGGGTTGTGTTTCTAGATGGAAGAAACTTAATTTGATTAATTTGTCTTCCTTCTTTCCAGTAGGTGGCATCTGAGTTCTAACAGATGAATGTTTCTAAAACACTAAAAAGCCACAACGATTTTTCACCTTATTGTCATCACCTACAGACACTGGCATTCATTCATTTATTTATTTAGACATTTATTATGCATTTGGTAAACACCCGCTGAGTGTGCTGTATCTGTTGTATCAAATTGTATCTTTTCTGCTACAGCTAGTGTTCTGCTTACACATTCTGTCATGTGTTTACTTCTGAGTCTCCCTATCATAGCAGTTATTTTCCAGCTTTATGTGCTTTTTCTGGATCTGTAATGAGCAGGAACCATTTTAGAGCTATCATAAAGTGATACATGTCCTTCAAAGAC